TTCTAATCACATCGCGTCTCTCCTCCAATCCCCAACACTAGGAGGGTTAGAATATTCCATGAATTTCAAATGATCATGCAAATAAAAATAAATTGGATCTAAATCAAGGATCCGATGCGAGCACAGTGTCAGTCCGGTTGGATATAACTTACATCCACTTCCTTCTCAGTTATTGCAATTAAAGTAGAAATCGAACGAATTAACGAATTAAGGGTAACCTCTGGTTAAAATTTTAGGAAAAATTGATATATTTTTATTGCGTATTTTCATTAAATACAGGCCCGATTAAGATATCTTGTAGCCCTGTGCTATTAAACCTTCTAGGATCCCCATGGTTGAAAAACAGGGGGGGTGGAAGGGGGTTGGCACAAAATTGTTTTATACATTCATAGAATATCCAACGGTTTAAAATTTAATATAGTAACAAATTTCCGAGGGTTCATTCAGATTTTATTTAATTAACGAAATAAACCAAATTTCTCTTTCCGTTCAGTCTCGACTAATAAATCCATAAACTTCAATATTTGCATACAAAAATATCCGCCGTCCACTCCATTAACGAACATTCAATTATTTTCGCGACACTCTGTATGATCGAAAGAACAAATCGACGATCGACTTCCATCCGCGAACGAGGTCCCGTTCTTCACGAAAATACATTTGGCAGTTCCGTCCCGGCTACGTCATAACCATCAAAATTCCAAAATCGTGAATGGGTCTGTGCGCGGTGAAGGCACTCTGCGAATGCAATGGCACCGGGCAAACCCAGAAGAACGGTGACAGTTTCGTCGCCAACTCGAAGAACATTCTGTCCACGTGCACGCCCGCACTGAAGACCGTGGTGAAGTCCAGATGCGGTTTCCGGCGTATGCTGATCTCGATCCTCGTTATAACGTTCGTGACGATGATCTACTACATCGTGACTTGCCGACGAGTCACCGCGTTTCGTATGTGCCTGAGAGATCAGTTACGGTCGCAGACAACACAACCTGTCTCGGTTCCACCCCCGCCGTCCGAAGAGATCTCACATACACCGGAAGAGATTCCATCAGCCGACGAAGAGATCGCAGAATAGATCGAAGGTAAGCAGTACAGTAATGTCTCGATAATTGCGACGTAGTTGGATCCGCTTCGGAGCATTCATGGCAAGGCGGAAAAGTTTTCAGACCCTCGTAAATTTATTTTGTTACCCGAAGCCGAGCCTTTCCTTAGCTTCTGTTTACTCTGTTTTGATTCATTCCAACGGGGGATCCTCCTAGTGGTGAAAATAACGCCGTTGCTCGTGGCGCATACATCCAGGAATCACTGTAGAGCGCCACGGCAGCCATCTTTGTATAGGTAATGTGAATGCAGGGACTTAAGGTGGTTCGTGCCAAATTCGAAAGACTAGATAATTAAATAAATTGACTACGCGGGAAAACTTTAGGGGTAGATAATACTCGTCAAATGATAAAAAAAAACTAATAAACATGGGTCGAAAATTTTCTTTCCATGAATACTAGACGCGATTTACAACAATGTGTATTGAACCAGTTCCCAATTAATTATCTCGAATTACGAAAAAACCAACGGAAAAATCTTTACGGTACATCAGTTTCTTTCTTCCAATTCCGTCTAGACCTCTTCCCGATTCCTCCGACCAATTACAAAACCGTTCAGAGTATTCGGTCGCCAAGCTTTCGCGGAAAGCACGCGCGCGTGTCCCGACGTCGTCGTGCGTGCGCAACGGTCAACCCATTAAATCCATCCGGTAATTTAGATTCGCATGAAGACAAGCGGGCAATCGCCCTTGGGGACAAGTTTCCCGACTTTCGACCGAAACGGTGGAACGACGCGACGCTGCTGCCGAGCGATCGTTTGGAAAACACTAAAAAAAAAAATCCCCTCCGTCGCGTCGAATACGCTCGGCCAACGATCCGAATAATCGGAATCTCGACGAGATTGGGGGCTCTCTAATCGGAACTCGCAAAAGCAGCGGGGGGTTACGAGGACTGAAAAGTATCGGATGTTAAAGAGGCAAATCGAGGCGGTGCTTACGCTGCGTATTTCCGAACCAGGCGTTCCCGATGACGTTACCGCTCCTCGAGCTGGCCCCACTAGGATTCACGGCTTTGATCCGCTTTTACGATCCGTCCTTCGATATTCCACAGGATTGCCACCGTGTCTGTTGCCTTCTGGGCATTCTCGAAGAATGCAGTAACTTGATGGTAATTAGTAGAATAATTTCAATGTAATCATTTCGATATTGTCATTCGGATACAGTTGTCTGCTATCTTTTATGAAAATGACCTAGTACTACTTCAGTATCACTAGTTATAACTAGTTTTTACTTTGTTATCAGTAGTTATCACTAGTTTTTAGTAGTTGTTAATCATTACTAGTGATAACTTCTGTTTCAACATTTTGTATCTGGGAAATCATTAACAATAAAATAATTCTTGAGAGTGTAGTCGTCAAACAAATGGTAAGGCAAGGGGTTAAACTGAAAAAGCAAGCTCTGTAACTATATTTCTTTCAGATGTACACGATGCATCGAGTGGACACACGGTCAGATACTTCCACGGCGAAGCAAGAACCATCTGCGAGCATTTATGGTGACCCTGTCCCGATCGCGCCTCTCGGTCTAACGTCATATTAATATCAAACATCTTTCATATGGAACATTATTCGACAGAATTTTTGAAGGAATAAATCTCGGGCCTCGATTATATCCTTGATGGTTTATAGCCTTGTGGTTCCGAGTACGTCCAAGGATTCTTGACGTTGGAGGAAACGAGTAGGGGTTTGATCCTGGGTAACGAATGCGGCCCGCCGTTGGTGCCGCGGTACCGGGAACGTATGTATGTACATAAATCCGTGCCCAAAACAGTGAGGTCGGACTGCATTTTTCATCGGCGGCATTATTCGAGGAGAAATAGTGTTACACGTTTTCACGTAGCGAAACGCTGATACCAACACAACCTCGTGCTTTGCTCTCTTCGTAACAATTGCAGCCCGATGGACCCGTGGGATGATGCTTTACGACCCAAATTTTAACCCTTTCGTTACTGCAGTCGACTATAACACTAGTTTAGAAAATTCAAAGAATTGTATGTGACCGAGACTCCACTATGAAATTCTTATGCAAGGTGGTCCCCTAACCTCAAAAATTGATATGAGAACAAATCCTAAGGATACTTTTTTGAGATATCGCCCGATGAATATTTTGGTAATTTTTTAAAAGACGACCCTACGTTTTTGGCCATATCTCGCGATAGAGTTGATCGATTTGATCGCGACGACTCTTGAAATAAAGGTAATTAAATGACTGTAAACTAGTGTAGTCAGGACCCCACAACTTTGGTCGTCCGTCCGTGAAGCGACCGCTGAATACCACAGGTGACTATAGTCGCCTGACATAATGGCTCTAAAAACTCAAGTAACTTGGTCCAATTTAAAAAATGTTCTTCTGTTTTACAGAAAGTGTGAGAATACGTTTGTTCACCCACTATAGCTAGGCACAAGAGCAAGAGGTAGGCGTTACAAACATTGTGGTGGAGACACGTCGGTAACAAAAATGTTAATCTTGCCGTGAGAAGAATCGCAAGTCCGTCAGCTCTCGAAAAAAAAAATCGAATCGACACAAAAGGTTGCGGAGGTTGTCGCTATAATTACGAATTATCGCGTTGATTGAAACGTTCGCGACTCGATTGTCGAGCACCGTCGAGATTAATGGTTTCGCACTTTTACGAGCACCACCGATGGACAGAGATCGCGCGAGAATAAATGATTAATTAACTGGGATGGCTTTTAGTGAATGAAAGTCCACGGGATATCGTCGCTGAGCGAATTTCTAATTAGGGGATAACGAGTTAAATTTCCGCTTTGAACTCGTACGCGATGATCGCGATGCATTTTTATTTTTATTTTTGTACATGAATTAATATACCGTTGCCTTTTATTAATACCGTGCTCGTGTCTGTTACACGATTGATCTTTTTTTTATTTTTAGAAACAGATCTTTCTAGTGTTTCGATGTTTTTTGGCAGTGAATGCTTATGTGATTTTATTTTACAGTAATATTGAAGATTAGTGATATGATATTGAGTAGGCCAAGAGATAGTCCAATCTGGTCTAGACTTAAGCAGCTTAAATAGCTTAAGTCTAGACTAGTCTCAAGTGTCGACAATCTAGACTCTAGGCTCTAGACTCTAGACTGTCGACGTTATAAGTTTCGATTGTGGTTCTACAAGTAACATCTTCGCATCTAACGGAATGAAACATGGTATTTCAGTAAAGTTTTATTCCCTCTTTCATTTATGAATAGTAGACGCAACAACGTATTGCCTTCGACCGAAAACTACTGTTATACGTTGACTTACTTTCATATAAAAGATTCACTCTCCGAATCACAATCGTGTTAAAACAAACCGTACAGTATTAAACTCGGAACTCAATATACCTAACATAACTTCTCTTAAAATATAAAAAAAAGAAAACAAATCAGATTCCTCGAAGCATATTAAAACGTAGGAAATAAAAAGTATTATAACTCGAGCATGAATCATTTGAGTATAGTAATTACGTATCAAAAATAGGGATGTCCCATTCCGATTAGATTCTTAATTTTAAAACTGACGAGAAATAAATTTGTACATGCACTAATTCCGTAATTTTTATTTTAGTTACTGTTCCATCAATCATTAACTCTGGTCCCACACTTTTACCCAAGGGAATCGATCTTCTAAATAATCGAATCGGAGTCAAACATCCCTAATCAGAAATACTTCCATACACAAGACGACTCGAATCTATATATTCCTCACACCATCATTCTAACTAACTCATAAGCCCAAATGATTGGGGCAACATTACATGTATATTTTGAATTCAAACAATTTAAAAACTCCCCGTTGATTTTTCGAATTCCACCAATAACAAATACAAACGTTTCTGCCTTTGGATTCCTGGTTAAAAAATTAAACACAGTCTCGATTACGTCGAACAATAAACACGAAAGTTCAGTCGAACACGTTCAATCGTTCCGCCTGTAGAACGATTCGCGCGAGTTTATCGTCGCTTATGTGTTCCTGAAAGGACAAGATAAGGCACGCCAGCGGCAGCTTCTCGATGATGTCCTCCCTCAATCTTTCAACGGCTATCTCCGGGTATTCAGACCTGACCGCCTCGACGTACACCGTCAACGTCGCCTGAAGTTCGGTCGGACCGGTCTCGTCGCTGGTGTTATACAGTAGAATGGGCCCGAGATCGACGGCTGGCGAGCAGTATCTCATTGTTTGCCAGTCGATCACCTTCGCGTCGATCGGTTTGCCGTTCTGGTATTTGAACAGCAGATTATCGTGTGAAAAATGACCGTGGCATATCGTCGAGACCTCGTTCACCTCCGACACGGATCGCTTCACCGTCTCCATCGGGCTAGTCGACAACTTCCTCTTCACTTTCTCGGTCAATTCTGTGTCCTGCATCGCTTCGACGATGTCTATTAACCTGCATGTATATTCAGAACGTTATTTTATATTTCCAAATAGTAAATCGAATAATACGAAAGTATTTAAAAAATGCTGTAGTTCCATGTAAACAACAAAAGATAACATTCGTATCAATGAAAAAACTGCAGATAAATAAACTCTGATTTAAGGAAGTTTGATATTGTGCACAGTTAAATATTGTTCAACTTTTATGTAAAGCAATTTTTTTTAACGTTCGAGGAAATCCCTGAAATTTCGTAATGACACTCATGTCGGAAACCCTGTACATCTACTGCTCAGAATACACTACCGGTCAAGGATATGACACCAGGTTTCGCAATATGTGCCGTTTATTATAAAAGTGGCCCGAAGGTAATCGAATATTTTGCAAAAATTCTTCTCTATTACTGTAACGTATTTACCTACTTTGATTTAACACCAAACAAATGATACGTACAGTTTTTTTTTAAATTTCGAACCTAGATCACTTTCATAGTCACTGATACGATTAACGAAAGACTGATTTTACTACGATTCCAATAAGACTCGTGGAACCAGTAATTATAAAAATCGTGAGTTCTATTTCGACATATGAATTTCTTTAAATCTCTATAAAATAATATTCTCCTCCTTCCTTAATCGTGTCACCTGGTCTCACCTGATGTTTAATATTATTGCCAACAGAATTGGGTCAATTCTCTCCCACATACCACGTTCCCAATTCATTTAAAAAAAAATCGATAGATTACTTATTAATAGAACGGAACAAACAAATTATACGAGATCGTATTCAAATATGTTCCACCATGATCACTGCATATCGCGATACTGTAAATGCAATAATCTCGATCTTCGTAAGCTATCCGCACATGTATCGACTCTCGAGAAACATCGATCCCGTCGTATAACGAATTTTCTCCCCAGAACCCGTGGCATCGATCGATTCCCGTCAATTTGTTGATACCCTAGATGCAATCAATTTTGGGTCTCCGTGCGGTCGTGGATTGCGCGGCGATTATTCCGCACGCGCGAAGGCTACAGCAATACCGTGTCGATATTGACATCAATAATCTCGAAATTAATGAAACGTAATTCGTAGCGGGTACCGCTAAATGTCACCCAAATGACGGAATTGTAACGCACTCGCGCCATCGCACGTCCCCGTACGCTCTTTTATAGTTGATAAGCCGTTTCACGGTAACGAACCGAATCGCAATATCATTCGTGTGAGCCAAGTGTAAATAGAGTATAGTGCATGGACGAGCTATAGTGACTTTCGGTGTAACCCTACCAGTTGGTATGCTGTGCGATACCTATCCTTGATGATGCAATTAGTAGTCTTTTGTTACTTCTTCAGGACTGTACCTATCTGGTACCATTTACTTTTTTTTACTACACGTCTAATATACAGGGTGAACTACGAATCGTGATCAGTAAAGATTACTCGGTTATTAACAGTCCGATCGAGAATGTTTTTAACAGGGTACAGAGAACTTTAACGTGATTATAGCAAATTCTTTGTCAACTCTTTTTTCTCGTGATTTTTTTACGCCTAACACATGTTATGTTATGATACTTACCGGATTCGTCTTGAAATCCTCTAACAGATAGGCATACAAAAATTATAGATATATTTGCAAAAAATTGAAGATGACCTTGAAAAATTATGAAAAAAAAAGAGTTGACAAAAAAGAAGGCTAAAAATCGTTCGTCCTAACCATCTGACCAACGTCCCTATGGAACTTATCGCACGACAAATCGCATAGTCTATAGGAGAAAGCCTACTCTCGTACACCCTCTTTCAATACCGCACAGATACCAAAACTCTAGCCTCCAACGGTCCAAAGAACCCATCTCTTGCTGTTTTTACGAAGTCACTATAACTCGTGGAGGTATTATACACATAACAATATTCACCTGGAGGATTTCTTCTCGAAACGGTCGATCGATTCTTCGGTAAGGATGACCTCGAGCATTTTCGCCTTGTACTCCCGGAAGATGTCTGGTTCAGTAGCCTTCAATCTCAGACCCCTGCCGTGAAACTTTCCAAGAACCTCCACGCATAATTTCAACTGATCCACGTCCAATTCCCCATCCGCTTGGGTGTAACCAACCGCCTCGAGGTCCTCCAGAACGAACACCGCCCTCCCATACCGACCCAGATCAGCGAGATAACACCTGGGCACGAGATCGTTCCCATACTTCAGTCTCATCTTCGAATAGAACATCTCCTCGTTTTGGTAGGCGTCGAACGCTGTGCTCGGCTGCTGTTCCCCATCCGGGAACAGTTTCACCAACAGGGGAAAGTTGACCGGCTCGCCAGAGAAACGAACGACAGCCTCGACCCGATAGATCTCGCTGCTGCGACTCATCTCGACCAGTCGAACCGTCGCCGACTCGAACTCGACGAACTCCCGTGAATTCGGCTCGCAGAAGCAACGATCTTGCGCCATTTCCGGGATCAGATCGTTCTCGATGAAGTCGATGCTCAGCTCGCAACGATCCTGGGACTTCGTCGCTTGAGACATATCTAAAATTATTCACCCAGTGACAAACGATCGTGGGGCCAGCTGCGATCAATGAACTGCCGCGAGTGTACGACGACTCGAGTGGAAAGAGAACTGGCGATATCGGTCCCTCAGACAGATATCATTTCGAGGCGTTGATAACGTTCAACCAACGACGATTGAATCGTTCGACGATACAATGTCTGCTGTGTGCTGTCGATACGGATACAATGGTGTTTCCGATTAATCCAAGTGGAGTGAATTTTAAAATGTTCAACGTTGATACTGTCCGTTTGATCGACGAGAGCTGTCCAATTACACTTTCTTCTTTGATTATATCCTTGAATGCGGATACCGATCCTCTAATTGATGAAGCAGGTTCAATCGACTCCTTTGATTTTATAATATATATATACATATATATATATAGAATCTTCAACATGGACTCTCAATAAAACAGGTTTTTAATAAAGTTGTTCAACTTGAATTTTGCACTCTGGAACTACCAACGTAGAGCTGACAACTTTATAATCCACCCGGTTCGAGTGATCCAGAACGACGGGGACCTTCGACGGATACGAAAGAAGTGTTTTTCACTGGCGATTCCCAATGAAACTTTCGATCGATCGGAGAAAGTTTCGAGAGTGCGATTCACAGACTGGTGCCTGGCCCGGATACCGCCGCGTGTGACGAGTTACTGACGATAACGCGGTAGTGTTTATCGGTAACCTCTCGTCACGGTGATGCACGCGTCGCGGCGAGACGGTCGCGAGTAACGAGCCCGAAGTACATTGTAGGGAATCATCTCACGTGCTGGGCTGTCCCCTCCCCTCCTCGATAACGAACCTCTTATCTTCTAATGGCGTCACGAAGTTCTCCGCTCCGATACACTGCCCAGACGACCGGAGACGGTCGTCGACACTGCGTTTGATCGGAGTTTACTTCGGTTTTCAGATTCGAATGGGGTCTCCTTTTCAGTGGACGATTAGGGGAATGCTAATTGGAATTGAACTACAATTATGGAAAGTGAATACATATTTTGATTAAGACGATGGTATAGAGCGATCACCGTGATCTTTTATGATTTTTGAGTATACATGGATTAAAAGTTGAACTCCCACGAATAGACAATCTACAATTGGTAATTTTAATAATTACAATGAATGCACAGTGGTATGTAAGGAATGATGACAAGGAAAATATTGAAAATGTCTACTGTGGATGAGGAAGTAAGGAAATTTGCTGAAGCATAGCAGCAGAGGATTATAAATCATGAGGATCAACTTGACAAAAATTGTTGCTTAGGTTTGTATTATAATTATAATTAATATTGATTTACTGCAGAGATTATCGATTGAATTCGATTATCGCTATTGAAACATTTTTAAAAAAATCACGTTATAGTCCTACTTGTCCTTTTTATGGACAAATTTTCAAAACTATGGACACTGTGGATACTTGCAAAAATGTATTTTTACAGATTTCTTTACAAGAATGGAAATTAGACAGGTGTTTGTTTCCATCGTGAAAGATTTCGTTAATTAATTGTCTAATCTTTATTCAACCATTAATTCAAGAATTATTACAATTTTACATCTGTTTTAACTGTGTCATAGCATTTGTGTCAACTACACCAATTTTATCGTGATCACAGATACACCATAAAATGAACAATAATTCTGTCTAAAGAAAGTGTATCGAAGATCGTGGCTTCTCAAGATTTCATTAAGATTTCTCTGTTGAAGTCCCCGCGTATAGTAATGGCAAGCGGCTGCGCCGTCAGTCTTGCATCACGAGAGATGAATCATACACTTGGAGACAAAATATTAAGCCCTCCCATGCTTTATCGCACTAACACCTGCTCCGAGCATTCCACTCCATATAACATAACTGAGCTCGGAGAGATAATCAGTCTTTTCCTGTCGCTCAATTTGTTTCCACGTCCGTATTATATACCCTTACAGAACAACAGTCAGCTGTTATGAACGTTTATTCATTAACCCTCATCCGACCCTCGTTTTCCTAACTTAATTTGTGCTTCAGTGTCGAATCGACGTAGTGGTAAAAAAATATTAATACAACGAAGAGATAAATAGTTAAATTTACAGATTCTTTAACCCTTTAACACCCAGTGTGACGTATTCACATCTAGAAAATCATATTTCCAGGGGTTTTGTCGTGAAAATACAGATGAGGTGCATGTATTGGGACCATTTTTTAACTTATTCCTACAAATGACAGAATATCATTATTTCTTAGGAGAAACAATGCGTCAAACTGACGAAAAGCTTAAATCCCACGTGAAAAGCATAGACGCAATTGTAACAATTTTAAAAAAAAAGGGATATAACGAAAAAGTTAACTCACACGCCTCGGTTAATAAGTGAATGAACCCATACCAGTTCTCGCTACTGCTGAAACACTATATTTTCACTCAAAAAAAGCAATAATAAAGAATCTCCTATTCCACGAGAAATCGTCCGAACGTAAAAAATATTCGCCGTAGAAAAAGCAACACAATTATAAACCTTAATTAAATCCAACGGAACGAGCGACTTACGTGTCGTGCGGCGCGCTGTTTCAGTTTAATTAATTAAGTAAATCACCGGGGTCGAAAGATCGATGCCGGCGAGCCGCGAGCAAAGATGGAAAATTAGATAATGACGGCACACAGGCAAGGGGAGGGGGCGTGGCAATTATAATAATAGGGAAATCTTCTAGGACCCCGGCTCGTTGAGTTTCATGGGAGATCGCGGTACGAGACGACTCAAAAAGGTCCTTTGTCCTCGTTCCACGACGCTGTTCGCCAAGGAGAAGTGATTTTAATTCTAACGCCCACGACGAGTCGGGGTCGGACTCGAAATTTGTTTGCTGGTTACCGTTGATTGCGCAGCATCTAACTTTATCTCTGTCTCCTTTCTTTTGGCGAATGAAACAAACTGTAATTTTGCATTGGTATTATGTATAGTAATATTGTGGAATCTTGACAGAATATTTTCGATCCTGTAACAATTTAATGATAATAGAAAGCCCTTAATGAACAAAACGAATTCCACTAAGTGAAAATTCATGTATGAAAAATTGTGATTTTGCATAAATATTGCCTAATAATTACTAATGATCGTGTTTCTATTGTTATTACAACAGTTTAACAGTGACAACGAACGCATGTATATTTTCAAATATCGGACTAACAGTATACTCTTATTCTATGTTATTACATATAACTGAGTAATAAGTATCAAAAACGTAATCGAAACACAGATTTTTATTACACCACAAACATTGCATAAAAGATATTTTGTTATATTGACATTTATAATAATTATGGATGTTGCGGGGAAATCAATATTATTGACATTATGGAACATATAACGAAATATCAGTGTAACACTTAAAAAAATTTTAAAGTTCCATTTATATCATTGTCCTGTGAAAATGTTCATACTTCCAGCAGCATTCATATTCCAATCAAAAAATTTATAGAATAAGGAAAAGGAATCTAAAGTAATTTTTAGTAGTTCCATTATCGAGGATTTACTGTACGTAATTGACATGTGTATACCCCAAATTTACATAAACACAAGGAGTGTTCCATTCAATCATAAAGTTGTCGCGTCTACACACTAACCACACTAAATTGCGAACAATTTCATTGGAAAGAGATCGCATGGCTGTTATTTCACGGTATCGAGACAACTTCAGGCAGCGACTGGGTTGGAATTTACCAACAGGTTCTACCCGTCCCGTAAACCAATCCCCCAAATCCGACAATCCCTCCAGGCTTCCGTAATTCAAAATTCCTAAGTGACAGGACCACATGCAGCTCAACCAACGAAACCGATACAACGACGTAGAATCGAACGTGACACGGGAAACGGCCACGAAACATCTCGAACACGAAAGGACGAACCCACAGATCTAACCTTGTTCATCGATGATTAATTTACCGTACAACGCGCCCTTGGTCGCACCAATTATGCCGACTCACAGCATACCGGTGCAAACGAGTCAGAACAACTTTCAGCCGTTCCAACAACCGCATACAGTCACGCAACAAATGCAAACCAACAATCCTGCCGCTTTCCCAGGGAATCCACAAGGTATTCGGGCAGTGTTTCAAAAGCGGGCAAAATTCCTGACCGGATCAAAGATAACGAAACTATTTACATGTTTCGAAAAAGTAGATAACATTTCATTTGGAATGGTACAGATAATGTTAATTTTGAAGCACGGCTGAGTCCGAAATGACGAACTTAACCCTGCTACAACCGTTCGTTTAACTGTACTCACATTTCATGTCACTTCGATCAGAGTTAGGCAGAATTTTATTCGAATAATACACAGTGAACAGCAGCAGCATCTAAGGGAGTCGTTCTGAGCTTTAAACAGTTAATGAGATTAAATATCAAATCATTCATAAAGAAGTATTATTTTATTATAAAAATTGAAGTTTCCACATTTAAGCAATTAAAAATGACGAAATACTTTTTTCATCTTTTATTCTTTAGTCGAAACTTCTTATCTAGATAATTAGTTTTCCCATCTCTGATTTCCAAGAATAAGGAAGATACAGGAAAGTTTTCAAAGAAATAAAAAAGCAGTTAGTCGGATGAAACTGGAGCATGACGATAGATTTAAAAATATGTACAAAAATGCTGCTCGGTTAGAAAGAATCTGGAGGCTGTTACAAAAATGCTGCTCGGTTAGAAAGAATCTGGAGACTAGCAGGATTCTGAGAATCTTGTCCTATCCCCATCCCTTTCGATTCAGAGTCATTCCACGTGAAATCGATTTGCAAAACTGGACCGTCCAACGTGTACTTTAATCACCCAGATACCTACAAGCCGTTCTATCAGCTCCATCAATCGGACGTTGTCTTCGCGAATCATCGGTACACCCCAAGCGCATTCCCTCAGCGTAACCAGTACCAACCGATCTTCCATCCGCCCAACGCCGCCCCCGCAGTCCAGACGCCGCCGAACTACGGTCCACTGCCTCAAAGCGTCGTCGATCAGATT